TTTATTTAATTGTATTTTATTTTATTCGATTGCATTTCATTGTATTTTAATTCATTTATTGTGTTTGTGTTTTGTTGCTATTTTTGGGGTAAGTGTTTTACAGCGTTCGTAACTGCATAAAGTCATATGAGCGCGTGGGACAGGTTAAGCATTTTTCAGTTTTGTAGAAAATGATTTTGAATTTTGCCCGGCTGACGGCCGAAGCCTATTCTTATCGATTTTAAGACAACCAAGGGATATTTTAATGGACTCAATTTGTACACGTGACCTCCGAGATTTTTTCGTCATTGTCCGAGAAGGTTAGTTGTTAGATCTTATCTACCCTAAGATCAAGGGTGTAGTTGAAAGACAACAGTGAGAAGGCGCCAAGGAGTAGCGGTAGAAAAAGTCAGAAGTTTAACGGAGGTGGAAAAGGGGAATTTATTCCATTTGCTATTATGTCTGTTTCAGAGGTCTTTTCTCAGGGAAGATCAAGAGGAACTCTAGACCAACTGAAGGTCGTTTGGGCTGGGTGGCCGACAACGAAGAGGAAAGACAGCAACAGGCTCTCCCGGGCTATTCGTCCTTCGATGAGACTATCTTCAAAACATTGGATGTCGTAGAAGCTATCGCCAAAAAACACAGTAAGCTTGTTCAGTTTTTCACTTCAGGTTCAAGACCACAAAGGGGTCTTAGCCTAATCGCTACCTTAAACGGACAAAGTTCTATCTGCTCAGTAGGCCTACTTGGTTTTAAGAAATTTGACGTCGAAACTTTTGAGTTTCACAAAATGTCAAGCTTTTTCGAAGGCAATTCTTTGAATACGTTGATAACGAGTCCCAACAATCTTACGATTTTAATAGAGAAGATTTAAGAACTGGTTTCTAACCTCATGGTCTTATTAACTCAAAACTGTCAAATATTTTAAATAGAACTTAGTAATTTTGAGGTAGTGTCGGCTGAAGTGAAGAAAGTGTATGAAAAATGTCGAACTCTGATCTTATTTTTGTGCGTTATGGAAGTAAATGATTTGTTACCCGGGGTACTTACCATTAAAAAGCAAATAAAATATAAATAACAGCAACAACAACAGTATCCCCCAACAAACAAACAAACAAACAAACAAACAAACAAACAAACAAACAAACAAACAAACAAACAAACAAACGTACAAACTATAAATGACATACACTGGTCGGAATGCTTGTCGTGTAATCTGTTGATGTGAACATTTTTGTTGTTGTCTTTTTTACTTTTCTTTAATAGCGATGATCACTTTAGGTACTTCAGGGTTAGATACGTCTCTTCAGCCTGTCAGCTACAGCCTTTTCTTTTAGCAACTTCTGGGGAAGTAAACAGATTTTTAGAGGTTCAGTGAGATTCTCTACATTTGTTAGTTGAGCTGGTAATATTTACTTGACAACAACAACAACAACAACAACAACAACAACAACAACAACAACAACAACAACAACAACAACAGCAACAACAACAGCAATAATAATAATAATAATAATAATTAATAATAATAATAATAATAATAATAATAATAATAATAATAATAATAATAATAATAATAATGATAATAATGATGATGATAATAAAGATTTTTTAAAAAGGGATAATAATAATAATAGTAATAATAATAATAATAATAATAATAATAATAATAATAATAATAATAATAATAATAATAATAATAATAATAATAATAATAATAATGATGATGATGAGTATGATGATGATGACGATGATGATAATTTGCATTGGTATAACGCAAATTCCCTATCAACAACGGATTAATACACCAGCAGACCTGTGATTGCACAATAAACAATCTGAACTCCCTGTGAAGCTTATAGTGCAAGTTATCTTTTTATAGGCGCTTAAATACCAACACTTACAAGATCTTTCGCTGTTTATGGCCGAGTACCCATTCACACCTGGGTGAAGTGAGGGACATTCTTGGTAGAGTGTCTTTTTCAAGGACATAACGTTGGGCCTGAGGCTCGAAGCCCCGAATCCGCAGTCTCACGATTACGGTAGCCCAAACATACTACCGATCTCTCCCCCCCCCTCCCACACACACACACAGAGTTTTGTTGTCACGTAACAAAATTATACCTCCAGCTATGTTCTCTCTCTCCATCAGTTCTGTGGTCACAAAACACAATTATACATCCCGTTATGTTCTCACCCCCTCTCTCTCTCCATCAGTTCTGTGGTCACAAAACACAATTATACATCCCGTTATGTTCTCACCCCCTCTCTCTCTCCATCAGTTCTGTGGTCACGTGACACAATTATACCTCCCGTTGTATCCCCAGGTCGGAGCGTGCCCCAGGTCGCTCTCCGCTGGCTGCTTCAAAAAGATGTGGTCACGTCAGTGATCATCGGGGTTCGAACTCTGCAACAACTGGATGACAACATGGGCGCTGCCAACGGCTGGGCTTTGTCTCAAGAGGAGGTGAGTACACTACGGTTTTCTTCTCAAGTCAATGGGGTGAATGGTGTATTTTGAAATATTGTCGTCTACTTTACGAAACGTGTATTTTGAAATATTGTCGTCTACTTTACGAAACGTGTATTTTGAAACGATTTACTTCGTCTAAAGAAGAGTTGGGTACACTGTGGTTTTCGTTTTCAACTCAACGGATGAAAGGTGTATTTTGAAATATTGTCGTCTACTTTACGAAACGTGTATTTTGAAACGGTTTACTTCGTCTAAAGAAGAGTTGGGTACACTGTGGTTTTCGTTTTCAACTCAACGGATGAAAGGTGTATTTTGAGACGCTTTAGTTTCTCTAAACTCGAAAGAAGAGATAAGTACACTGCTCTTATCTTTTCAAGTCAAAGGAATGAAACGTCATTTTGAAACGGCTGGACTTTGTATAACGAAGAAGTGAGTACATTGCCATTTTCTTTTCAAGTCAACGGAGTGAAATGCGTATTTTGAACCTCTTTACTTTGTCCAGGTCTACACACTAAAGTAACCGGCTTCTGTTGGGTCGCGGTTAGGTGGTAAGGTGTCGCACGCAGGAGACAAGAGTTCGATTCCTGAGTGGGGCAGAACTTTTATCGAGTACCGGTATCTCGATCTTTCTGCTGAGATTAATGTTGTATGCCTCTCAGCCTGGGTTGAGCTTGACAAGCAGGGGCTGAGCCGGAACCCCTCCCCATAAAAGATCTAAATTAAGTTGATGGGGGTGTAAAAATACCAAATTATATTTAAAAAATATTGAGGACACACGAACGACTTCAGTGTCACAAACTTGGTTGACACGGAAAGACGCAAAGTCCAAATCAGGCTCGGGTTCCAAATATCTAAAAATAATAAATTTTCCCCTCTCAGTCTCAGTTCTGTGGGTTGGCGAGGCACTGCAGAACTGACCTCCAGTATGACCTGCTTTGTGTCTTAAAGAATGTTAGAATTTTAGGAAGAACAGCAAAAAAGAAAACATTATCAGTGCTGCTGTCTCAAATCTCCCCGTGCCGTTCATCAGACTTATAGCACACCACAAAACCTGTATGCAGCAAAGTGTCCCTTCCATCTCTCTCTTTGATACGGAGCCGCTATTTCTTAAGCAGGTCATTGGGGGTAGGGGGAGGAGGTGGTAGGTCTTACTTCTTTGGGCAAGCTGGTATAAATTACACGTATGTAAATGCCTCAGTGGGACTGCTATGACGTTGTATCTCTTTCATTTGGGTTCGCTCTGACAGGCAGGATTGAAACCCCCCCCCCCCCAATCTGCTAAATGATATGATCTAAATCGTAACGACGAAGACGTGAAGCATGTGCAATGCCAATTACCTGAACATCTGTGTGGGATTGGCGGGTACTCTGGTGTGGTTTGCTCCTTCTTTCATATCAAACATCTATCTACTTATCTCTCCTCCTTCTGTTCCATGTATGTTACTCTCTCGTAACATGTCAAATCTTTGGCATGGCTTATATGGGCTATTTGTGTTGCATGTGCCGTAAATCTCTTACTAAACTGAAACAAACTGTACATCTGTCCTCAGTGTAAACTTATTTGTCGTTGATTTTCTATCCCCCAGATGCAACAACTGGACGACGTGTCTCAGCGACCTCTGCCCTACCCCTATGAGTTTGTCTTCAAACTGAACAAAGACCGTTACAACAGCTCGACAAGTTATTACGTTCAGTCTCAGTACTCATAGTAGCACCAACTTACAGAACGTTTTTTGAGATGCAGAAAATTTAGTATTTTGCTAAATCAGACGAGTTTTATACGGAATTTTTGTATACATAAATATATACCTGCATGTATTTTAAAATTTTATGATCATTTGTGAAGGTTTCGTTTATACACCGCATACGTTCTGCTTGAAGATATGAAGACATTTTTTATGTTTAAGGATTAATTCCACTGCCTACTGCCTACATAGTTGGCTGCTTCGGGTGTATGTTTTCAGAGGTTTGTTGAGTCATGTTATTGCTAGGTTACTTATAGTACAAATTTTAATGTCACAGGGATGACGTATGTATGCTGTTAATTATTACTAACTTCATTCTGTTTTATTAATGTAAATATACACACGTTTGTTTTTAAATTGCAATTTTTGTTAATAAATAGTGCCACAGGAACCGACTAGTTTTATGTCCGGTACACATCTTCATGTTAAATCCTAAGAGAGTTATCAATAGTAAAACCCTGTTTTATCATGGATATGCCTACTTCGTTCTTCTCATTCGTCAATGTGATTTCTTTTGGTAGGTTTTATCTACTAAATGTGTTTAAGTCCTTCTTCTCTAACCATCTCTCATTTCTTTCTCTCTATTCGTCCTTTTCTTTTCCAGAGCAGTTGACAGGAATAAATAAAAGACGTATCGCGTTTCCACTATCGTCTGACAGCAGATGAAACCAGACAAGATCATAAAGTTCTTTTTAATCTTCTCAGATCTTGGATGACAAACAAAATCTAAAACTCATTCATTAAAGTAACTGTAAACGAAGACTACGACTTTTAAAAAATATCATGCTAGCCTTAAGCAGCTTAAAAATCATGTTGATTTACTGTGTACAGACGAAAAAAAAAGAAAAAAAGAAACCATTTCAAAAGTTGAGTTACTTTCATCCAACCACACTTCTACCCATGCCTAAGAAACATGGTCCCATCAGGGTGGGTGAACATTTTTCTTCCTCGTCTTTTAACCACTGCCCTTTTAGATCGAGCACTTGATTTGGAGAAGAAATGAAAGGGACAGACTTCGGAGAGAGAAAGAGAGAGAGAGAGAGAGAGAGAG